TATTTTTTTGTCGACTGTTCTTGATGTGAAGAACAGTGAGTTTTATATGTATTGTACATTTTCAGGTTTTTAATTGAGCTTTTTTGTTTTGTTTTTTTTTCCTCTTTTTTAGGAAATAAAAGGAGATTTCATCTGAAAAAATAGGTCATTTTTGCCATACTAGGAATGTCCCAGGATCAGATGCATGTGACAAAAATGATGAATAGAATTATGCTTTTGGATTTTGAAATTCAGTCCATTACGGTCTCTTCCGTCGGGATTTGTAACTATTAGATCATCATGTAACCGTCGCGTAGTAACTCCCTAACTAAAAATTCACGCGGCAGTGTGTAATATTTTGGCACATGAATTTGAAAAGATATAAGGAAGCACTTTCAAGTTAAAGGTGCAAATTTAATTAATTTCACACATCACTAGAGTTGAGTTGATTTTTTTGGTGAAATGAACATTGATGAGAAGTCTAATGCATATTTTATTTCCCAAAATTAATCAATGGATTTGACTAGAATTGATAATTTTTTAAATGAAAGTGCGGTTTACAATAGAACACTATAAATAAATTTACAGTATAAGAATATGGACACTAGAGTACTATAGAAAAAAGAAAAGAAAATATTCTTAAAAAAAGAGAAAAATAAAAAACCGAATGGAATATCGGTCTTTTTAATATCAAGTAAAATTTGTACATGTTTGTACAAACCTGACATCAAGTATTATATAACATTAAAAATAGATCGGTGAATCCACTAGAGTAGTTAGCTCGGTCGTGATCGGTTCAGGAGAACTCGAACTATTTTCTAAATATATATTTAAGTCAGGGAACTCGCCTAGGCAGCTCAGAAACAAACATGTTTAGTTTGGACAATTCGAAGGTCTGAGAACCTAGGGAGCCCAGATACTCAATGGGACTTCACGGCCTGTCGATTTTGAGGTAGAAGTCGTGGTTGCGACCTAAGTACCACCAACGGTAGGAAGGTATAATGTTCGTGACGTTTATATATAAATAATTAGTATTGAATGTACGTACAAATACAATATTCAAAATATTTATTATATATATTTCTTATATTTTTGCTATTATATTTTTTTTCTTTATTTATGATTATATGATTAAGAATTTATTTTTGGTAAATCTATGAGGAAAGACCACGAAGATTTTCGAAGTCCACAGGCCACAGCTCGTCTCCTATTTCTAGGGTTTTAATTCTTCATCGACCCCCAAATTTCTTCATCGATCCCTTTCGCCTGCCTTCACCTAGTTCAGTCAATCGCCGATCAATTTCAAACCCCATTCCCATATTCCATAGCTTGGAGATTTCCCTGTTCTCGATAGCTTCACCTCTGGATTTGATTTCTTGAATTTTTATTTCAATTTTCGCGCATTTGCTGCTCACTCATCCTCACTGCTTCAAATTCGATAGAATCTCGATGCCCGAGGCGATCGGCCGAGCCCCATTTTCGTTTGAGCTTGTTTAGTAGCAATTGAGATCGAAAATTTCAGTGCTTCCCATCCAACAGCGCCCTGCGAATCGGCAAGCCGTCGTTTTCACCGCCTGAATCGCATGGCGGCGCCGCGGAATGTGGTGGTGGAAACCGGCAGCCGGCTGTTGGACAGGGATGAGGAGAAGAACGATGAGTCGCCGTCGGGGAAGAAGCTGAAGGCGGAGAGGTTCCCACTCTCGCGGTGGGAATTTGCGGCGGCTCTCGGGGTGTTTTTGGTGTTCTCCACCGGTTTGCTGTGCATTTACCTCACTATGCCCGCCGCCGAGTATGAGATGTTGAAGCTGCCTCGTAACCTCGCGGATCTTCGCTTGCTCAAGTAACCACTTTTCATTTCTTTCGGCCATGCTTATTTTATTTGGGATTTTAAAATCTGTATTTTTGTTTTTGAATAATGAGTTTTTGGTCTTTCTTGGAATTCCATTTATATAGCTAGTGTTTTGGTGCTTCAATCATTTAATTACTGGCCGCAATCTCGTGTGGCTTCATTTGTATGCGTAATAGTGGAAGAGATGAAGTATTATATAGTCATCCAATGAGCATTTGGTTAGATGTTTGATATGTTTTCTAGGCTCCTGCCTTATTTCTTGTTAGTCTTGGAGTTGTGTATTGCATTTTTCTAATGCTCGGTAGGAAGTTGTTTTTATGGTATTTTGTGCTTTCAGGTTGTCTTAAGAACAATATTTGACTGATGCTTTTATGATGGTTAGATTTATAAGCTAGGTAGTAGTCTAACTAATGCAAGTTTTCAGCTTCATGTTCTGTTTGGGAGCACAATACAGACGTTTCTGATAAACCCTATGTTATGAATATCTCAACCATCTAATGTGTGGTTGAATGGGTATAAGCTGAACCGACCTTGTACTGTTCATCAGGACTGCTTTCAAAAACTTTATTGTTTTCTGGAAATTTAAGCTTGTATTAGGGTGGATAGAGAGTAAGTTAGGCAGCAGAAGATATGATATTATAACTGGATAAAGGTTCATTAAACTGATTTGGGATGCGTGGAATAAATCTTGTCTAGTTGAAGCTAAGTACTCCATTCTCTCTTCTTTTTTTCCCCTTTACAAATTTAATTTGTTTGCACTTTCCAATGTGCTTTAGGGATCATCTCGCTACATATGCCCAAGTGTACCCTGCAAAGTTCATTATTGGTTACTGCTCGACATACATATTCATGCAGACATTCATGATCCCCGGCACTATTTTCATGTCCTTATTAGCCGGAGCACTTTTTGGTGTGGTAAGAGGTCTTTTCTTGGTTGTCTTCAACGCAACTGCCGGGGCATCTTCCTGCTATTTTCTGTCCAAACTCATTGGCAGACCCATTGTCAACTGGCTGTGGCCTGAAAAACTCAGATTTTTCCAAGCTGAGGTACCCTTTTTTCCCGTATTATTATTTTTCTTTCTTTCTTTTTTTTTTTTCTGAAGATTTGGAGAACAATGAGAGGAGTGTATTTTTGTTTTCAGATAGCAAAGAGGAGAGAGAAATTGTTGAATTACATGCTCTTTCTGAGAGTAACACCAACACTGCCAAACCTGTTCATCAATTTGGCATCTCCAATTGTGGACATACCATTTCATATTTTCTTTCTGGCAACTGTTGTTGGCCTCATTCCAGCTTCCTATATTACTGTTAGAGTAAGATCAATTTATGTGTTTTTCATCAAGCTGTTTCAAGCTTCATGTAGTAAATTTATGTGATCCATGCACTTGCTGTGACTTTTGCGTTTGCTAATTTTGTTTCTGTTAGGCTGGGCTTGCTCTTGGAGAACTGAAGTCGGTGAAAGATCTATACGATTTCGAGACATTGGTGGTACTGTTCCTCATCGGGTCGATTTTATTGTTGCCGACCCTTTTGAAGAGGAAGCGGATATATGAATGAAGCTTGTCCTTTTACGATTCCTCCCGTCTTTTTTTGAAGAAAGGGGAGTGATAACCTGTAACACCACTTGCTTCTAACGGGAAGTTTCAGCATTACTCATCGGTACATTATCATCGACTGTTATCTCACAGTTCTAGTTTTAGGTGGTCTAACGCTTGAAATATTGAATTTGAACTGATATACATTGTAATTCATTCACAGGGAAAGAAATCTGGAATCTGTATTTATAAACTTAATTAATACACAGGCAGGTTGAGATATATCTTGTGGGCATAAAATCTCCTTATATAGTATTTCATTTGTTATGAGTAAAATTTGGTGTATGATAATGAGAAAGCTGACACCTTTTGGAACCAAAATGAATCGAAACTATTGTACTGTATGCATCTTGGTGGAATATATACAGCAGATGAGTTGAGGTTTATCAATCCTCAAATATCAATCCAAACCCAATCAAGATAGGGATTTGTCTACATATTCGCACCTTCAATTTCATGATATGATTTTTTTGGTTTGATAGCAAATGCTCTAGTCTCGAAAAACCTTAAACTACCGGCAATCTTTGTTGATGTTCCACTGGAGAAACAACCATCGAATATTCGCAGAATATTTGCAGACCTTACTTTTCTAAGAAGACTATCTACTAGTGAAAGTGTGATGACTAAAACAACCTTGAAAATTAGCCTTGTGTACCCAAATCACCTCAAATTAACCAGAGGGCGAAGTGAAAGAAAAAGCCCAGCATTTAGAACCAGTTGGTTTAAGGAAAAAAGAACAGTTCATAGTTTTTCGTATGGCAACGAAAAACATATAAATAATTTTTTCGTTATTTTTCCATCATTTATTGATTGCAAGTTCTGGGTTGTAGGGGTGGGATTTTCAAACCGGAAACCGGCAAACCGAATCGGACCGCACCAAAATAACCCGGTTTGGTCCGGTTATTTATGTGAGTGGCAGGTTTTTCTCGGTTCGGGTTTTGTCTTCATTTTTTGGTTCGGCTTTCCGGTTTTCATTTCACAGTTCTTGAAAAAAAAAACGAGAAACCATTTGTGTATATATACATAACCATTGTCTAGTACTCAGTTGTCTACTACAAGTATAAAACTAACCTCAGTTGTCCTCTCGTATTCCCTTCTTCATTCATTTTTAATTTTTTATTTTTCCTCTCTCAAAAGTCGAGGAACCTTTCTTCTTCCCGAGTCCAAAATCGCAAATTGCCAAAATCAATTAATCGAAGAACAAATTTGAGATTTCATCAATTTCGATTTGATTTTAGACGTCCAAACCCTAAATCAATCCTAAACTCCACCATAGTTCGACAAATCCCTTTTCTGTTTGAAATTTAATACCCTAAATCGATTTGAGTTTTTGATTATGAGCTTCAAAATTTGAACCCATTCTTTGGATTCTCAATTGCTCATGACTTCAAAATCTGAAAAGAGTAGCCACATTTAAAGCTTAAACCTGTATAAAGAAGTTGGCACCTCAAAAGAGAAGAAACGGAACCCTAATTCAAATTAAGAACTCACACCCACAGAAGAAAAGAAGATTACGGGAGGCTTCAGAACGAAAGAAGAAGAGGTCGTGGGTGTGGGACCACTTCAAAATCGTTCATAAGCCACTGATCGTTGCGAATGAAGAGGGTGTGAAGGTGGAAGTTGGAGAAACTACCCGAGTTGGATGTTAGTATTGCGAATCTGATCTAGCTTGCAACTCAACAAGGAATAGGACTAGTTAATCCTTCTCCAAGTACGTCTTTAGCGCCACATTGATATGATATTTCCGCACTTCGCTTCGAAAAGTTTTTTGGGAGCGGGTGTGAGAGTGGGGACCGTGTCTATCCAAAAACACCTTGAATTGCATTGTGATAGTTATCCGGGTAGTGCTAGAAATTTAAGCGGGTCAGAAATATTTTTCCGTGGATTTATAGGGTAAAGTACACAATGGACACAAGAAAATTACATTAATGTTGCTGTTGAAATGATTGTGATTAATGAAATGCCATTTTCTGCAGTAAAAAGAATGGTTTTAGGAGATTTGTGCTGTAGCTGTTCCTAAGTGGCAAATTCCTTGTGGTTAAGTCTTTCTTAAGTATGTACAATGTTAAGAAAGAAGCTTTAAAAACTGAACTTAAGAATCATTGTGTTTGTTTGACAACTGATGCATGGACTTCAATAAAAAAAACATCAATTACATGGTGCTAACAACCCATTTCATTGATGCTAATTGGACTATGCATAAGAGGATTCATAATTTCTGTGTCATTCCAAATCATCAAGGGATAACAATAGGAAAGCTTCTTAAAAATTGTTTGCAAGAGTGGTCAATTAGGAAAGTTTTGACCATTTCAATTGATAATACATCTGCCAAGAAGGTTGCACTTGATTATATGAAAAGAAAGCTTAACAATGGTGATAAACAACTTATTTTAGGGGGGAAATATCTCCATCTAAGATGTTTGGCTCATGTGGTGAATCTCATTGTTAAATCTGGATTGAATTGTATGGATAATTCAATGGCTTCTATTAGGAATGCAGTAAAGTATGTTAGAAGTTCACCTGCTAGACTTCAAGAATTTAAAGCATGTGTAAAAAAAGAAGAGTTGGATAGCAAAAAGGTTTGTGTGTTAGAGGTGCCAACAAGGTGGAATTATACCTTTATAATGCTGGAAACAACATATGAGTTCAAGTTGGCATTTGATAGGCTAACAGAGGAGGACAGTAAATATAAGGGGTACTTTGATGAAGATGAAGATGAGATGATGATGATGATGTAACTGATTTAGTATTTGGTACTGAGGGGGCAGAGGGTGAGAAAAGGAAAAGAAAAAAACATAGGGTAAAAGAAAGTTGGGCCACCAACTGAGGAAGACTGGTATAGGGATGAGGCTTTTATTAAGTTCTTGAAAGTATTCTTTTTTTTTTGGTACAGGGACCTTCCGGTTTCCGGATCGGAACCGACTAATCCGGAATCGAGTCGGGTAGGACCACAAGAGCGGCAAAGCTCCCCCTCAAGAGCTTTTAACACTGCTGCATTCCCAGGGCTCGAACACGAGACCACTGGTTAAGCTGGAAGAGACCCAAAACATCTCATCCAAGCTGGAAGAGACCCAAGCCATCTCATTCTTTGATGTCACTCTTAATGTTAGTTGCACTAACACACCAACTGCACATAAAGCATTTAGTGCGATTGTGACTAGGGGTGAGCGTGGGTCGGTACGGTTCGGAGATTGATAAATCTCAAGAACCGTACCAAACTTCGGAGATTCCAAAATTCGATCTCCGGAACCGTACCAAAAAGTCGGTTCGGTTTGGTTCGGAGATTTTTATTTTTCGGTTCGGTTCGGTTCGGTATTCAGGACTATTAGGACGGTTCGGTTCGGTATAATTTGGTTCAGATCTTCGGAGATTTTTTATTAAATTATTTATAAATGACTACCTAGTTATGATTTAATTTTTATATGATTTAAAAAAAACAACATTCATCAATAAATTCATCATATTGAAGATTTTATTTTGAAATCAATTCTAGAAGTAACTCTAAATTTTAGTTATTTAATTTTTATATGCTTTAATAAAACCAACATTCATTAGTACTTCCTCACATTAACGATTTTATTTTGAAATCAACTTTATAAGTAACTCTAAATTTTAGTTATAACTAAATTTGTGCAACTAACATTAAAAATTTAAAATTCAAATAAAATTTATAGAATCAAAGTTGACATAAAATATATTAATAACACATCTAATGTTATAATTCGGTTCTTCGGTTCGGTACAGGATGGTTCGGTTCGGTTCGATTCTCGGTACGGATATTTGTGAAATCTCTAGAACCGTACCAATTATTTTTTCGGTTCGGTTCAGTTCGGAGAAAGTCAAACGGTCAACGGTTATTTTTTGGTTCGGAGTGATTTCGGTTCGATTTTTGGAACGGTTCGAAATTCTCCGAGTCCCATGCTCAGCCCTAATTGTGACAATCAAGTGTGAAATTGATGATATATTCGATGCACCAGTGGCAAATCAAAGCATTGATTATGAGATGACTTTGTTTAATATGTCTGTGCAAATGGGGAAGTATAATATGATTTTTTTTAATACGAATTTTTTAAAATATAATGATTTTTTTAAACTATTCTTTTACTTTCATACTGTTTTAATTATAAGATGAGGACTAATAAAAGTATCGAGCACATTAATATAAATACATTTTTCAATAAATTTTATATGAAACATATATATTCAGGTGTGTACTAGTACATCAAAAACACTGAGTGGTGATAAAAGTGCGAGACACGAGCATACTGTGGTCTAGATAAAAGAGAGGCTTGTGGAGGGGAAATGGTCATGGTATGTTCAAGTAGATGCATGTGGCCTAACATGCATGTTCTATATTGTAGCTGTCTCTTATGATGCCTAATACCTGTAGGTATTTCAGTACTTTGACTAGCTTATACATATAATATAAGTGTGTTAATGCAATACTAAAGTCTAAAATACTGGTACAACGAAATCAGAAATAATGAAAGACCAGAAAATAAACCCAAGAAAAAAACACGTGTATTGAATGGTCACATTCTGATGCAGAATCTCGGGTTAGAACTGAATTTTATCCATGAAATGCCGCATTTTGTTGTCTTATCCGCAGTATTCAACACGTGTTAAGAGAGATCTCTTAATATATTGGTTTGAAAACATATCTGCAATATTTGAAAGGTAATTGGTGTTGGATTTGTTGTTAGTTTGTATTGCTTTTGCCTATATAGATATCGTTGTACATGAGGTGTTAAAATACTCAATTTTATAACTCGTCCTTCCATTTCGTGTATTTTAATTTTTCTAAAGAGCTTAATGGGGAAAGTTACTGTTCTCAAGCTTCACTCATGCTAATTGTTTATGCGGGTAAAGCAGTATCCTTTTTTTCTCTGTGATGCTTTTATTTTCTTAAGTCCAATATAACATCTGATATGTCTTGTTGTTTCTCTATGTTATGCTTAATGC